AGGAGGTACGATTTAATGTTTATTATATTTGCATCGCAATCAGACGTTTGGACAAATTAAAGAGTGCACCTCATGCCAACTCACTTAAGACATCACTGTTAGAGGTCTGCTTTTTGAAGGGTTGAAACGAAGTCCTTCTGTCTCTTTCTGTTGTTTCTATAACAATGGTGACGCGAAAGTCTGAGTTCCATCTTTTGCTCTTTTCTCTGTGGGTGGTCTGATGAGAGAGCTATCTGATTATTCTAGGTCAATCATTTGATTACAATTCACCAACTTTAAAGAATGTGTGTGCATGAACTAATTACGTGAACGAGGGCACATTGCCTTCATTAAAGGTCTGATATTTGAAAAAAAAATTTAAATAAAGACATTAATACCAGCGTTTAACATGCATAAATGTAGATTAAATGATCTTCAGCAGTAACTGCAGTTTTTTTTTGCATGTGTCTGGAGAGCTTTCAAACAATTGAGGCGAGTGTGATCTGCTAAAAAAAAGTTTACTTTAGGGCTTTGGAAAAAGAAACACTGCAAAATATGCCAATGCTTGCTCGTGGTGACGCAATTATCTGTGAGGGAAATCCAAAAGAGCGGGGTTGGGTTACACATGTATCATTCTCATAGACATGGTGCAGCCAAGCTGTCATAACCATGATCAGAAGCCAAAATGAGTTTTACAACTTGGAGTCAGGCCCTTTGTGTTACTTCCAAAGACTCGGGCGTTCACTGTCTACAGCTGTCAAAGATGGTGGTGGCGAACAGGTGCACATGTGCAGTTTCATCATGAAAATAAGGGTAATATGCATGGTTGATATCAGTATATGTTTCCAAACCACTGCATTCTTTCTTGTCCTCACCTGTTTCCATAAATGGTTTTTTTTATTTGCATTTTTAAGTATGTTAGAAAATGTTGATGGACATGGCAAAATTAAAAAAAAAAGTTCCTCAAATTTGCAAAAAAGGTTTTATGCTCGCTTGAGGTGGTAGCAAACTTTTAGCTCACATGATTTATCAGCTGTTTCTGCTGTCTGCGCCTTCCCAAATTTTCCCAAAAGCATTGCATTTCTTTCTCTGTGCCTCCAGACAACATGTAACAACACCAAAACTAGTTAATGATTATAACTTGCCCAATAGCAACACATTCCGGAAAATTTCTCCCCATTGTCCCGAGATGTGTGATCCTTGCTAGTTTACATCCTACTTATTACAGCCATGCGTAACGTCAACGTCAGATGAAATTTAGCTTTGTGTTGCCTGGTTGATTTGCTCCAAACCAGTAGATTGAAACACGCCTAGTTCACATTTCTTTTTTTTTTTTTTTGCAACATTTTAAAAGTTTGCCTAAATTCACATTACAATTGGATGGAAACATGGCTACTGTCGCCTCTACTCAGGGACAGTATGTCTGCTTCCTCTGTTTTCATGACCTCAGCTGTGTTTGATTTTTGCCAACTTGAAATTGGCCACGGGGTTAGCAGCGAGTCCTTTGATCAATTTCACCAGGAATTGGATTTGTTTATCTAATGATGGCCTAATAAGAGGGTGGTGGGTGCATACATTAGGCGGGGGCATGCCTTGATGTGGCCCTTGACAGCTTTAGGACATGGTGAGGAGAGAGGAACAGGATCCTGTAATAGTCAGAGGTGAAGGAAAGATGATTACAGATGTGACTAGAGGGGATCTGAACCTTGTTACTCAGCAAACATGTATTTGACTCCATACAGATGGCTTCTCTTCATCAAAAAACAACATCAAAACTCCTCCTCTTTGTAGCTTTTTGAGATTGATGGTTTTTGATCCACATGTCGATGGCTGCTTGTCTGTAAGAGCACAACAATCAATGAGCTTCTCAGGGGAGAGGCTGCCCCTGTTCTTGTGTTCATTGACTTGCTGATGGAGATGTGGGGAAACTGTGCGGGTAGACAGCCAGGCCCCATCGCATCACTTTCCTGGCTCGACCTCAGTCCCCTGAAATAAAAGCCTTCCTCTTCCGCGCTGCAGCTGGACTTCGGGGAGCCTGCAGAGGGCCTGTTTATTTGTGCAACAACGTAATCAGGAGGGTCTATCGTTACACGACCTACCCTTTGCACCTTCCCACTCTCTGCCAGATCCATTCTCTCCTCTGTTCCCATCAGCTCCCCTCCCCTTATTATTTAGCATATACCTTTCACCACCCTCAGTCTTTTTTTTTTTTTTTTGTTCTTCTGAGCCTCATCATTATCCAAATCCTTTCGCTGACCCCTGTTGACCTCAGGATTTGTTTGATGTGGTCCCGGCATGAAAAGAGAAGCAGAAAAGTTGAAAGTTTATTGTTTCAACGGATGAATTTCCAGGACTGCAGCTTTTGAAATAAACCTTCCATGTCTTTACCTAAGAGATTGTGGAACTCAGTGTGTGTGAGACGTCTTATGAGCATATAGTCGTCTTGCGCGATCAGCCAGGACGAGCTCTGATGTTGGTCGACACATGCAGACTTTGTACTGCCTTAACATGCTAATAATTTAGTCTGTTATGTTGTTGTTGTTGAAATCATGAAATTCCTTCAGTTAAAAGTCAAGTAAACAAGCTCACACATGTGGCTGCAATATTTTAGTTCTGTCCAGATGAGTTCTCTGAGTGAAAAAAAAAACATTGTTCTCCATACATTCCCTACAAACATATGAAGGAATTTTCTAAGGATCTGGATAAACACATTCAAACATCAAGAAAACTATTTATGTACCACAAATTCTTGTCTGCTTTTAATAATCCGATAAATGTTTTACATCCAAATTAAACAATATAAGCATGTATTCACATTTAGCAGAAAGTTAGAGCAAGTCAGCATTACATAAAATCTGACTTTATCATTTGCTTCTGAAAAGCAAAAGACAAATGATAATTTTGTGTGCCTGTTAGTAAAATACCTATTGCATATTTGGATAGATTTTAGTGAAACTGAAAATGTCATTAACTTTTGGAATCAATCCAGCGTAACATGGCTGCCACAGCAAATAAGCTTCAACAAACAGAAAATAAAGTTTATGATTTGGTGAATTTTATAAATATTAAGACGCAATTTGGTGTGGAAATAATTGAGAGTTTTCCTCAACTCATACTCCAAGCGCCAACTGATCACCGATTGTCATTAACTACTGGAGTCAACCTTGACCGTCAGTTAGCAAGGTGTCTCATTTTATTTTATTTTACTTTCAGATAGTAAAAATTAGACACATATTTATAGTTGATCTGGGACCTACCCCCCCCCCCCCCACACACACACACACACATACAAATAGTTTAAACTTAGTCAGCTTTACAGAAGTTGAGCTCAAATTGAATGTGGTAGTAGCTGCAAGTTATTCTTATATACTTTGAGCACAGACTGCAAGATCTTGTAATTTTGTCTGACATCCCACTTTCAGGATTTGATGGAAACAGCATGATTTTCGTTTAAAACTCTGGCATGAAAGGCAGCAAGAACAATGCATTCCTTCAAGAAATGGTAGGCCTCTATTAGTTGTAATTTCATTCATGTTGAAATTTTGATCTAGTCAAAATTTCTGTAAATCGCTCCAATTCAAAACCAAAGTCATCTCAGGGCACCTAAACAACTCACTTTCCCCCATTAATGTCTGGAGCTCGTCCTGCTTTCTCATTGAGAAGGGGTTCCAAGTGCTTTTCCAATCTACAGTATGTCGCCTCTTATTCCACTGTTTGTCTCCGGAGACAGACAGGCGGGTTTAGCTCTGGGCTGGGCTGCCTTCTGAATAGTATCCCCAGTGCGCTCCACTCTGCACCGAAGAAACATCTTGTTTTTCAACTGGTGGTTTCCTTGAGCCACAGTGTTTGATATGGGTTTCCCTTAATCACACAACATGCTCTCTAAACATGAGCCACATTCATCTTAGCTCCATGACTTCTGCTCTCTCTCTCTCTCTCTCTCCCCAGTTTTCGGCGCGTTATTGTGCAACCGAGTAAGTGAGGCAGGAGGAAGACAATGGTCTTGATCTCTGAACAAAGTGATTTTGATCTGGTCAATCCGGCAATTAGCCCATTAAGGCTGGAATGAAACTCTAATCCTTGATTGGACACATGTTCTTTGTAGTCCTAATGTGTCTCTTCCTCTCGTGTCCACATGTGATGGGACACAGAGAGGGTATTAAACAGATGCCTAAGATGGAAGCCTAACATTAAGATGGAGATGCTCTTTGAGGCTGAGGACTTTTAATTAGAAGCTGAAGGCACGATGCAGTCGTGTTTCCTTCATCTTGCTGAATAGAGGGGTTGACTGAAGACCTGGTGCCAAGCTCTGGAGTCAGCATGTCACTGGCGGGCACTTTGTGGGGAAGAGACAAGGCGTGCTGCCATGCCTGGGACGACTCTATGGGAGTCTCGCATGCGGGGGGTGTAGATGAAAGGCTTTTGTCTCCCTAAACCCCTCCCTCCCACCTTCCCCATGGTGCCCTGAGTGACAGGGCAGTAAGCGGAGAATAAAACTAGAATAACAAGACTGGTTGTTAACATATCATTCATTGATGAACCTTCAAGGGCATCCCGTGAGATCAAAGCAAGGCATTCAGACTAAAAGTATGACATTGTCTTGCACAACAATCTAGCTGTCCACCAATTCAGCTGTCACCAAGTGAGGAAGTGGTCAGGAACGGCAAAGGAAGGCCTTTCACTGTCTCCTAATGGGCTTTGATGGTCCAGGACAAAGAAAGTGTCATTATGGAATTACCCAAAGCCTAATGTCTTTGTTTGTGTGTTTGTTGTTGTCATTAAGCCAAGAATGACCCATCCCACACCTTTTCATCACAYCAAATGATGACGAATGTCTTAGATAAAGTTTGTTATCTGCCTTTATTCTCTTTTTTATTTCCCTCCTGTACAAAGCAGCTTGCTTCTTTCTTTTCCTAAAGTAGATTGTTTTCCTGCCCTCTCAGGGGTGCTGCTGTGAATCTCTCTCATCCCCTCTGGGACTTCTTTATTTTTCAATTTTTTTCTTTTTTTTTGTTTTTCAGGCACTCTGCATTTACACACATGCGGGCTCTTTGAAGTTGTTGCCCGGGTGCTGTTGGACAAAAGAGCCCCCATCAGCTGGACTTAAGGATGGAATGGCAGGGGGGTTACGAAARGGGATTGGTGAATAAAGAATCAAAGTAACTGGGATGGGGGGCCTGCTGGCGGAGTACTCGATGTGAGACTGTGAACCATGTACCCCTCACAGTCCCAGTCCCAAAGGCCTGGAGTTCACAGGTGTCATTGCATTTTTTTTCTTGCGCTACATCACGYCTTTCTGTAGCCATGCTAGTTCATGTTGTTTGTTTTTGTCCCTTACAAAGAAAAACTCATATTTTAAGTCTTGCATTCAGGGTGATGTGAAAGACCACCAGCTGTTTGCTGGGCTGAGAGCAACTGTCTGTGCCATGCACCTTACACTGTGGCTTTGCAACCTTTCTTGTGTCTGCTTGGACTTTCACAGCAAGGGCTACTGATGCCACAGCAGCCCTTCTCGCTCCCATAGCTGCAAAGTGACCGTTTGTATTCCCTCAACCCATCAAATCCCCGCAGGACCACTCAGGTTCACTAGAGGTAAAATTTGTGCAGCCGCCTTTGGTGGTGCCGACACAGCAGACCCATTTTTTTTCACCCAGGGCCTCATTAAAGCTGAAAACATCCCCTTCAGTCTGAATCTTATTGTTCAGTGGGCTCAGCGCTTAATTGTAATTAAAGACAACAATGTGCAGCTAATGTCTTTCAGGATCAACAAAGGCTTTTTGAAAATTTTGAAAGTTGTATTTTTATGCAAACAAAAACAGATGGGTGAACCTTTTTGATAAAACTTTTTCAAAATATTTTAAAGGACAAAACTAAGACATTTTGTAACTAATAAACTGAGTTTCAGATACAATCATTTTTTTCGGTTGTAATAATTTACTTCAACCAAAAAAAAAAAACATTCATCTAAGAACTTAATCTGTTTTCTGCACATTATGGGATTCCAGTTTCAACAGTTATTTACAAAACAACACAAAAACTATCTAACAGAATGAAAAGCATCAATTAAAGTGTCCATTGAAACTTAAAAGTTGTGTTTCTGTTGGCTGCTCCCTTCTGCAGGGTCATCAAACTTAAAAAAATTGGTAAATCTATTATAACAGATGCGCATCCAGATGCAACCTAGGACTGAACCTGGTTTCAGGATTTCAAGTTCATGGCACTGACCTTGGAGCTACAGAAGTTCCTACAGTTTTCCATAAAGTGTTATTTTTCAATAAATTTTCCATTTCATTGTTTACTGTTACAATATACAGGTTTTCAAGCATCATGTTTGGAGCACTCTAAATCCCATAAAAAATCCGATTTGATATTTTCACCTGTTTGATCTCAACAATTCCATCTAGAGCATTTTCATGGCATGCAAAGTGGAAAACTCAGGTAATGGAGTTAGTCTGATCACAGCGATTTTGGTTCCCAGGTTGTTTTCCACTGTAATTAGCAGATCAAAGCGTAATGTTCTGGGTCACTTGTTCAACTCGCCCCACGTATATACAGTCATCAGCGTGTTTAGATCCCAGAACCGCGAGGTTTGCTCGTCTATGGATTCAGCATACATCTTCACTTTTTATTTGTTTGCTTGTGCGCAGTCACGAAACAAGCAGAGGGTGAAGAGCATGGGCTCCACATGCTAGAAGGGCCATGGCTCTGTAAGCCACCTGGGCTGGTGAAAAAAAAAAAAAAAACTCCCCACTGGAAATAGTCATAGCACAGATGAATGAAAAGTGTGTAAACAGTCTGYGAACCATCACTGTGAGCGAGGTGGAAGGATGCAACCTTAACATCTGTCCTACAAGCTCCACTTAAGAGCAATTAGGCCTCATTCATGGGCTGTGCAGTAAACAGATCCACAGCTTATCTTCTTGCGGTCAGTTTTGCTGCAGCTGGTTTTGGACGACAACAGAAGGTTTCAAATGCTCTGGCTGCTGGAGAAGATTTCGGTGTAGATGGATACAACTCTGAGAAAGATGTCTGGGATGTTTTATTGTTGGTATTTGAGTCAGTAGAAGGTGCAGAAATTGAAGAAAGTTCACAAAGATCTCACCCAAAACTTCAAAGACATTAWAAAATAATAAAAGGAAGTCGSTCAATCAAACATGGCTGTGTTTGTCCGTGTGTATCATTACCACATTTGGGGGATTTYCCATTTCAAAACTCATGTCTGTGGCCATATAAGACAGACTTAAGTAGTTTACTCAGCTGCGGATGAACAAGGTCTACTTCCCGTCTCTGTGTCACAAATGCAGAGAAACRCAAAATGCTTCTGATGGCTGTTTTTGTAACATTCTTGCAAACCATMTGACCTTCCTTTTTACATTGAGACAATATTTCTTCAGCTAAGACAGAAGAGGGAAGGACATAAGGCACCTGTCAGCAAATATAGTGTTTCATGACCTCAATGTGAAGTAAATAGTAAGTTCCTTTCTGTGTTTTCAACACCAGGTCCAGAAGCTCTACATCCAAACCTTTTTAGCTTTTGAGCCACAAGGGTCAGACACATACCACTGCTGCATGACTGATAAAAAGGTTGAATGAGCTAATCTGAGTCTTTGTGTTTATTCCATAAATTACAGTTTAGACTTAGACTCAAACCATGTGTTTTACCTGAGGTTGGTTTAATTTGTTATTCTTCATCAGAAAACCTTCACTTAATATACACCCCTGAAGTCATCAAGACTCCATTAAACTTTGTGCTTATGGGGTTGTGAATACTGTTGATTGTTTTGCTATGAATTTATTCCTCGTATAGAAATGTATACATATATTATAATACAATACTATTAATAATATATTATGAAGACATTACATTCTGTGTAGGAAATAATATAGATAAATGGTAGGATTAAATAAGTTTACTTCTTAAATAAAAAAATAAAGTAATACTGTTTCCAGTTCTGTTTTCACAATTTATAACAAAGTTTTCAGTAACCATCATTTAATATTTCTGGTTGAGGTTTAATAAAATAAAAATAAAAGCCAGGTTTATTCAGACTTTAATTTGAAAAACATGATTTTTTTCCCAGGAAAAAGAATTGACACTTTTAACAATTTAAGGAATTTGTACAGCCTCAGATCGAAAGAAAAAAATTGGGATRTTGTGTAAAATGTGGRGGRAAAAAGAAAGAAAGAAAACAGAATGCRATGATKTGCAAATCTCACAAACCTGGATTTTATTCCCAATGAAACATAGTAAAGGTACAACATCATCTGTCCTTAAACAGTATTGTTCTATATAAAATACTGTTTTTTTAGATTTGCAAATCATTGCATCCTGCTTAAATACCTCATGGCCCTTCATAGAGCCACGCTAAATGAACTGTTTCTTCTTTTGATCTAATTTCCTCAGTCAGGCAATGAGTGCAAATCAACGAAGTTCTCATTTCCACACAGCTCCACAGCTCAGTGATTCAGGATCCTGGACCAGGGGTGGCAGCTCCCTGGTGCTAATAGTAAGATCAGCATTGGATTGGAGTGAGGACAAGGGGGTAGTAGGGGACGACTAAAAGGGACACCTGGCCTTTTCTCTTTAGGCATTCAGACATGTCCCGGCTGTGGCTTCTGACAGAATCAGGATGCAGGATATTGCACTTCCACTGATGTGCGTCATGAATCTCCTCAACCCACCAGCCCATGTAGGGAATGAATGCGAAAGAAAAAAAKAAAAAAATTAAAGGATATCTGCTTGCTCAAGTCTATGCTTTTATTTATGTTAGAAGTAGCAATATAGATTTACTTCACAATAATTGTAACGAAAAAATAATATTATTACAATTTCTGTTTAAAAAATGACAGGATCCTAAAGCTGATTTGGTGTTTAACAGATTTGTGTGCTTGTATCTAACACCATATTAAGGATGACTATTGCTCGCTGCACGAGCGATTGAGCAGGTTTTTGAACATGCCGGTGCTTTGTTTTACGCAAAGAGAAGCGAGAACTCCAGCGGCTCCTTTGAAGCCCTTTTAAATTTATTGGTGTTTTTCCAGGAGAGGCATTATTTTAAATTACAGTTCATTGGGAGTGGATCTGCTTCTTTGCTGTTTTTGGCAGTGGGTTGTGTTTTATGTCTGGAAACTGACATTGCCCTTTCCATTCTGTTAGATGAAGGAAGAACAAATCTGGCCAGGTCAGAAGCTGCTTGTGTCGGCACCCTGATTGCTAGAAAKTCTCACTAAGGTTAAGAGCATTTGAAGCTTTCTTGGACCCAATCTGTCCCTAACTCGTGCATCATTCAAAGTGAAGTTTGTGKGATGTGGTAACTCTGTTCTCCTCTTCTACAAACTATTTTTCCAGCAGCTCTGGTTTATTTCCAGTCTGGTATTAAGACAGATGACAGTAAATCACCTCCAGTTTCCCTTTTTGAAGCCAGAAAATAAAAATGAATCCAAGTTGCTTTTTAATTTTTCTTGTTCTCAAAGAGACGACACCTCATTGTACACAGTTGCATCAGTTATGAGATGACCAGTTATACACAACTTGTATTAACAAACAAAGCCACTGTGTCAGGTTTTACAGGTGTTWTGATCAACATTGCTTCACTATCAAGTGCAAAAATCCTGTTCCTGTACCAGTGTGTTTGCTTTGAACTGCATCACGCAGGAATACAGCTCATGTTTTCAGAACGCAACAGAGAGGAAGCTATTAAAACCAAGCACCAACATTGCATTGTGACCTCTAACCCTCACATCCTGACCTTTCTTACAATTTGACACGAACTCTTGTCCCCATGAAAGCTATCCTGTTGACTCACTAAGGCTAATTAGAGTTACGGTGTTGCCCACCACCACCACCACCACCACCACCACACACACCACCTCCACTTTGAGGATGAACATAAAGTGCTGACTTCTGGATTTGTGGAAGAAACTCAAGACAGACACATTTGACCCCTACACTAACCTATTTTTTTTCAAAGGCTTGGGATTTTTAGGAACAATCGTATGCACAAGTTAATTCAGTCAGATGGTAAATTTATTAAAGTCAGACACCAAATTGCCCTATTTTTTTTACTCATCCARTCCACTTTACTTTTGGCACCACTGCAAAAATATTAGCCCACTGCTGAGTGTTTCATATGAAATCCTGTAACAAATCTCCCAAAGGTCAACCTCACACTGAACCACCTGCCACCAACTAAAGAGATTTTGGTCATTACTTGACTTATTTTTAAATATCACTAAACATTGGCCCTTTCATCCCGGCTAATGCTTGACCTTCGGGGTCCTCAGCTTCTCTAAGCATGACTGACGGATCTGGTGAGTATTTTTACATCGTTGGTTTTGATGAGTCCCAAAAATAGAGCGCTCTGCTTACCTCCACCTCTTTTGACGTCACCTCGCCTGACCTACGTCGCTATTTTTAGATGCCCCAAATTTTTAATTGAACCGTCTTGTTGAGTTGGCGCAGTTATGTAAGGGGATTACCCTGCTTTTGCTGACCCTACCACCACTCAGAAGAGAGAAGTGAAGATGGAGGGTAGAGGTGGCTGCAGGTGGAAGACGAGGGCAATGCAGTTAAAGTAAGTGCTCCAGAAATAACCCAGCTGCTGGCCTAATTGCACATCTCTCTTGCTCCCTTATCCCCCCTTTTCAGCTGCGTGCCAAGGTCCTCGACCTTATCATCCACCTCACTGGTTCCGGAAGAGTCTTTTTCCGTCCCCCGTGGCTAACAAAGCTCTGGCCCATCCACGGAGCACAGCAGCAAACCAGCAGCCTCAGACTAACAGCCAAGCGCCACAACCATTTAGGACTGATCCCAGCAGAGCGCACGAGTGGCTCAAACTGCCAGGTATGTTCTAATCACCCCTAGTGTGGGCCTCGTGGCTCCTTCGCCCAAAAAAACCCCTCGTGAGAGACCTGGGGCCTCCCAGAAATCCGCATGTCCTGGATGAATATATACATTCAGCAGAGATGCCGTCCCTGCATTCGCATTCTCTCCACACGCAAGTTCTCAGGAAAAAACATATTTGCGGCAGTGGTTTGTTTTTTGTATAAACATGAGCATGTTTTTCATGTGTTAGGAGTCTCGCGTGGGGCATCCACGAGGAACGCACAAACTCTGCATCCCCTGCAGCATTCCTACATGGTTAGACAGCTGTATGCCCATGAGGGGGCCACAAGGGGCCCTTGTCTCCTGAGCACTAATGCATCACAGACTCAGTTGAAGGACAACATTCACGTAAGCACATACGTTCCACAACACATGGATGGCATCGGGTTTTTTCATTATTATWTATTTGCAGCCGAAGAGATGAGGGGAWATGTAACACCTCTGGCAGATGCCATGACATCTGTTGCTGCATGAAGGGTTGGGATTTCCTGATGTCTTTGGCCCATAAGGACAAAGGGGTTTAATGAAAAGGCTTTAGGTTTAGGAGTCCTTGAAGGAACACATGCGATCTCACATTCAAAATGTGTGCTGTGGATGATTTTTAGCCACTACCGCAGCAAATTGTAAGCCAATGTGTGTAAAACTTTTGGTGGGAACTTTTTMAGGTCAGTTGTCTGTGACAGTTATYCTAACTTTGGTTGGCTCCAAACAATCAGCTATCAGTGTCTTTCCTATAACTATTTGTCATGTTGACTTTTTATAGACAGAACTTTTGGGGCGGCCGGGGCGGAGTGGTTTGTGGAGTCRTCCTGTAACTGGTRGTTGGTCGATTCGATCCCTCRTTCTATCASTCTCAGTCATTGTGTCCATGGGSAAGRCATTTCACCTGCCTTGCCTGCTGGTGGTGGTTAGAGGGCCCTGTATCACTGGTGCATRGCAACCACGCTTCTGTCAGTGCGCCCCAGGGCAGCTACAATGCAGCTCACCACCATCAGTGTGTGAATGGGTGAATGACTGTAAGTGTAAAGCCCATTGGAGTCCATAGGGACTTGATAAAGCGCTACACAAGTTCAGGCCATTTACTGTTTAATTTGGACCTGAGAATAAAGGAGCTCTGAGTTGACAGAAAGCTGGAGAGATGCAAGAAGTCATGTCAATTTTGTAAAAACAAACCACAGGCTGATGAGTGGAGACTTRAGGAGAAACATCGGCTCTGATCCCAACATTTCCTCACAGGGACTCTTCATCTAGACAACTCCACCCCAGACAAACATTTTGGTGCATCATGAGTATTCATACCTCACTAAATTATTGCTCTGTTTCAATTTAGGCAAATCATACCTACAAAGAGTAAGGGACCCAAAGGTTTCTTTATAAGACATTTTTTGTGGTCAATTATATTTTATTCCAACTTTAACTCAWTATAAGAAATTGGGAATTTTCTTGGCATGTGAATTTGCCTTCTATTAGAATCCCATAATGACTACCACCATATCAATATCTCCATGTAACACTGCAATCCTGAATCCAACTGCACAGATACAGCAAGGTTGGAGACGCCTCAGCCTTCATCTCCTAGGAAAGACTTCTCACTTTAGAGCTTCTCCAAAGCGTCTGGACTAGCTGTCAACACTCCCTGCCTTTAAAAAAGCCTTAACTCATTACTTTCAAGCACGCCCCTCCCCATTCTTGTCCTAAGTGTTTTCATATGTTTAATAACGCTGCCTTCACATGTAATTTGTTCCATTAAGATGCATAAGTAGAAGAGTCATACAGTAGTGCTCCACATTGCCAGCRACCCAATCCTGCAGCAGCTCATATTTCAGAAGAGACAGAAAAGATTTGTGGAAATAGAGAGTTTATTTCGAGGTGCAAGGGTTAACACTTCCATGTTAAAAATACATGTCACATCAAAAAAAAAAAACTTTTACAAAGCCTACAAATTTTAGCAGTGACATAGAAAGATCCTAAACAGCTGCTTCTTGTGATAATATGTAAGAATGTAAACAAGAATGCAGCTTTTGATGTTTAAAATTGGTATTTAAGATTATAATCATGTTAAATGTTCAACTAAACATTGCCCATCCAGACTCAAGTCATCTTGACGGCCTGCTATGAAAATCACCTCTGGGAAACATAAACCCAAAAAAAAAAGGAGGTGCTAGGTCAAACTCCAGGTGCCGTGTCCTTGAACACCTAGCTGAACCTGGATTCTTGACTTTCACTTAAGTTGCTTCCAGCTGTACACGAACAGTGAGTCACGCAAGAGCCACACAAATAAACAGTGTGAGGTGTTCTGTAGCTATGCTGACTCACAGTAAAGACACTTTGGTCAAATACACCGCTGGTGGAAAAACATAAGAGCCACTTGGATTAGGAAACCCCACATTAGCCTCTCTCTTGTAGGCCTAACCCCCCCCCCCCCCCACACACACACACACACACACCCCACCTTCTCCTCCTCTCCCTCTCTGCTGTGATGAAAGTAGAGAAAGCACCTCTGTTACTCGCCTCTTTTGTTTATTTACCTTCAGAATTACACCCTGCTCCTCTTGGACCATGTTCCAATGTGTTTTGTTATGTTTCCTTTCAAACAGAATATCTACGCGTGTGGTCTCTGGCCATGTTTGGCTAACGCATGCACACATACAAGCACACACGCGCGCACTCAAACATACACACACACACACACACACACACCAATTCAACTTTCCCCCTGTGCCGGAGCTCCCCTTTGCCCTTCCCCCTACCTCTAACCAAACACGCAGGACAGCAAAAGGGAACTTCAAAGTGGCCGGAGGGGGTACTCCTTTTTCCTGGCACTTGTCATCATCTAAGGGACTGGCTGCTCCCCTTATTACTCTAATTGCTTCCAACTGCTCCTGGAGGCTTTGATGAAGGGCGCCGCGGAGCATGCTGGAAGCACCTGTTGTTCCACAGATGAGCACAGGTGGCTCTTATTGGTGAAAGTGGTGGGGAGTGCTGCTGAACAACACTTGTGCTTTCAACCTAACACCACACAACTTAAATTCAAAACAAAATGAAGAGTTGTACATTTGGGGTAATTATACAATTGCAATAATATTGGGGGGAAAAAAATACAACAACATTTATTCAAAATAAAGCTTGTGGAAATATGTTGGCAGCACTCTGGCTCTACCTTGTGGCGATCCTAGAAATCCAGAAGCTGCAATGGAGAAAGACGCACAACTGTAGGTTAATAAAATCAGACTGTTTATTATGATAAAACCAAATAAATTGTAAATAAAGATTATAATACTCATACAACATTGTTTTAGGCTCGTGTTTAATATTGCACAACAAACAAGTTTAGTAGGGTGAGCTGCCGCTGCATCAAACTGCCTTCGTTTTGCGTGACCACAGGCTACCCCGTTACTAGGCCTGTCATGATAACAAATTTTACGGGACGATAAATTGTCTCAGAAATTATTGCGATAAATGATAAAATTGTTGGAGACCGGTTTAAACTAATATAATTTTATAACAATCCCTGATAACAGAAGTTTAGATTAAAATGTACATAGTGTAAAAAGAAAAAAAAAAACAACTGTCAGCAGTCCCAAGGTGTCGGCAGCTGAATGAAAGCATCAGAAAACTGAAGACGCTCCTCTGGCTAAAGGTGTGTTCACGGGCTCTAATGCTACAGAGGTTAGAGACCATGCGCCTGGTAAATACCTGAGACCAGAGTTCACTCCTCTCTACGTTAAGAAGTGAAAAAAAATGAGACACGAAGAAAACCAAAAAAAGCAGTCAAATGAAATTTATTGTCTTCATTTTAATGTATCTGCCTCAATTTCATTTATCACACGATTAATTGATTTATTGTTTATTGTGACAGGCCTACCCATTACATAGTGATTGGTTTCATATCAGACTTAAAATTCGTTGGGACATGTATTTACATGTATTTTCACTGGAAGAATAACTTCACAGTTAAGATGTTACAAGTAAATAAACAAAAAAAAATCATTAATTATTTGGGTTTAGCTACATTAGGTACTTGTAGTTTAATTTTATTTAACATCTTTTTGCAGCATGAATTTCATCAACCACGTTGTTAAACTTACATTTAAAAACAAATTATTTCATCCGTGATGAATTTCCAAACTATGCCGACTTGGTAAAAAAAAAAAAAAACCTCCACAATCTTAATTTCTCTGTTTAGTTTGCTGTCGGCGCATTGAATCCTGGGATATCCTCGGTTGGGAAGGATACTCGGATGCATCCTTGGTTTTTGAGATTTTGTGGGCCGCATTCCTCGGCCTCATGAGGAGGAGCCTTCGAATTGGCACAGCACTCGACGCGGGGCGGTGACGTACGCTGCTGATAAATGAGCGCTCATGAGGATGGAGCCCGTGAATTGAGACACAGCCATAGACTACAAAGCAAGATTTCATTCWTAGTCAGCTATAATGAGCTGAAAGAGTTTTTGTAACAAGGAGGATTTATTTCAGAGAAGCTAGATAATAATAATAACAGAGTCTCCCCCTCATAACCTGCTGCATTTCATTTTAACTGTGAATTTGAAGCACAACTTATTACTCATTTGTAAAAAAAAACTCCGAACAAAACAAAACAAAATTTATTTACATCATAGTTCTGACCCTTACGTCTGAGAACATTTAGTAAATTACATGCTTGATTTGAATAACAAAGTTATTTGAAGATTATAGGGAAGAGTCAGAGTTAAATAAATATTTTGTTTGTGAAGTTAAAAGTTTACGATCCTTCGGTTTGGACACAAACAGCTACAAGTTAGCTGTTCATATGTACAATAGTATTCTGCAACATATTCCTTTCCTATCCTAATTGTGGCAACTTGCCTTTTAATTAACAGGTTATGACACTGTCCTTTATGCATGATGTATCTGAGCAGATATTTTGAAGCTTAGGCTACGTTCACACTGCAGGTCTTAATGCTCAGTTCCGATTTTTTGAAAAAAATCCGATCTTTTTGTGTGAACGTTCACATTACATTTTAAATGTGACCTGCATCAG